CATACCCACTGTGATTTTTCAAGCCACCAGGTCTGGGACTCAAACCACAGTCAGCCACGTGGGAGTCCAGCACTTAACCACTATGCCACCTGCTGGCCCCAAGACTTTTTCATTAGTTACATTGGGTTTTTCCCTTCTCATCATTTCTGCCCCTCAGTTGATATATAACACCAGCTTTCACTTTCCAAATCGTCTCAGCTATGTACAACTTACCCAACTCTACCCTGGAGGAAGGGTTTCCCTGCAGACCAAGAGTTCTACTTTAGCAGCAGCTACAAAAACATGCACTTGATCTCTAAAGGCCAACTGTAGCCTGTTTGATAACTCCTGGGATCACCTGGCCTCTGGGGAGCCTATGTCCCCGCTATGGTCTCAGAGATCGGGTGGCCCATCTCAGAAGTCATCCAGGGCTTCCACCGCGGGACTTCGGCCTCATTTCCCAACCTCCTCCCCTCTTGTCCATCTCTGTACACACATGTCTCAGCCAGATGAAAGCACAGTCCAGCTCTTTGAAAAATACAGTCCATAGTCATTGTCCTTCGGTTATGAGAAGCAGAATGCCAACGCTGACTGACTTAACCAAGAAAGGGAAATTCACCAGCTCATGTGACTACAAAGTATAAGCTTTCCTGGCATCAGGCCAGCTGGATCCAGCAGCTTAGGATCTGTCTACCTCCTTCTCTTGGGTTAGCTTTATCCTCAGACCAACTTTCCCCCAGGAAGTTGTGAAATGGTTGCTGTAAACTTCAGCTTCAAAACTTTTTTTTTTTTTTGGTAAATTAATTTCTTCCATGAATAAGAGACAAAAACAGAGAGACAGCACTCCCAATAGGATCTTTTGTCTGCCATAGGGTGCCTGTGCTCATCAGAGAGAGCACCCCCAGTGGGGCATGGCTGCACCCCAATTCTTTTTCTTCCATTCCACATCCCATCAGGATCTTGGGCATGCATGCGCACGTGCTGGTGTGTTTCTCAAGCCACTGGGGCTGGGACTCAGACTGTGATCAGTCATATGTGACCTAGCTCCCTATGCACAGAGCTTAACCACTGTGCTACAAGGCCCGCCCACTCAACAGGGTCTTGACGTCATGACCCACTTCCAGTTGGCCCGGTTCAAGGGCATGTGTGTGCCTGGTGTACTCAGAGAGATCTCCAGGTGCAAACCCACAGGACCTCTGCGTGTGAGGCAACCTTGTCACGTTGTGTGACAGACACAACTCAACAACCTTTGTCCTCTTCCCTCCTTGCAGAGTTCTGTACCATTAAGGTGTTTGCTCAGTCCCAGCCTCATGACTGGGGAGGATCGTGACTCCTCCTCCCCCACCACGGTGCTTCCGCAGCCCTCGCCAACGCTCCGACTAGGTAAATGAGACACAATTCCTTCTAGTGACTCGCCATCTGGCTCCCCGATTCAAATCTTGCAACTAGTGGATATAGAAATTCTCTCTCCTAGGGCCAGCAGGTGGCATAGTGGCTAAGGCACTGAACTCCCACATGGCCAACCATGGTTTGAGTTCCAGACCTGGCGGCTTAAAAATCACACCAGGAGGTGAGCTGCCCGGGCCGAGTCACAGTGGCTCAGGTTTCCGAACCCGCTCCCACACACAGGTATCTCTCGGGACAACTGGCATAAGCGCCGCAAGATGGGGGGGGGGGGCAAGAGAAAGCTCTACCATAAGAAGCGGAAGTATGAGCTGGGACGCCCCGCTGCCAACACTAAGATTGGCCCCCGCCGCATACACACGGTCCGTGTGCGGGGAGGTAACAAGAAATCCCGTGCCCTGAGGCTGGACGTCGGGACGTCAGGGACGTTGGGGCTCAGAGTGTTGTACACACAAAACAAGGATCATCGATGTTGTCTACAACACATCCAATAACGAGCTAGTGCGCACCAAGACCCTGGTGAAGAACTGCATCGTGCTCATTGACAGCACACCGTACCGACAGTGGTACGAGTCCCACTATGCACTGCCCCTGGGCCGCAGAAGGGGGCCAAGCTGACTCCTGAGGAGGAAGAGATTTTAAATAAAAAGCGATCAAAGAAAATTCAGAAGAAACACGATGAAAGGAAAAAGAATGCCAAAATCAGCAGTCTCCTGGAGGAGCAGTTCCAGCAGGGCAAGCTCCTTGCCTGCATCGCATCCAGACCAGGCCAGTGTGGCCGTGCCGATGGCTACGTGTTAGAGGGCAAGGAGCTGGAGTTCTACCTGAGGAAAATCAAAGCCCGGAAAGGCAAATAAACCTTCCTATCTTCGCTCTGTAATAAAGGTGTTTATTGTTCACGTCAAAAAAATAAATAAATAAAAATAAAAATCACACCAGGAGCGTTTGCATGTGTGCCCAAATTCTCAAGAGTAGACAAGAAAGGGTTCCAGCAGCCATCCCTCCTGGGGTAGGGGGAGATTTCTCATTTTCCCTCTCACTGTCTCTCATTGTCTCTCTGTCTCTCTTTGGTAATCATACATGTCCTATGACAAAAACATTTTTTTCTTTTTTTTAAAAAAAGAGATTTTTGCTATAGGGCACATGCACTCACCAGAGAGACAGAGTGAGACAGAGAGACAGCAAGCGAGAAATCACCCCCCCAGGGGGATGGCCATGCCATAATACCTTTTCCTCCATTCTCCTCTCAGGATTTTGGGCATGCACGCATACACATCCAGCATGAGTTTAAGTCACCGGGTCCAGGACTCGAACCATGGTCAACTACATGGGAGTCCAGTGACATAACCATTATGCCATCTGCTGGTCCTGACAAAAACATTTTTTCAAAGAATTATTTTATTTATTTATTATTATTATTTTCACATTAATTTTGCCAGAGGAAGACAGAGAGGAAGAGTGAGAAAGCAAGCTGCCAGATCCAGGACTTGAATCGCGGTCAGCCATGTGGGAATTCCAGTGCCTTAACCACTACACCACTTGCTGGTCCCAAAAAACATTTTTTTTAAAAAAGGAAAAGAAATCCTCTCTCCTAAGAGATTGAGCCTTACACCCAGGAACTGACTCTCATGGAGAATGGAGTTATTGTCCATCTCAAATCAAGTCCTGTGGCAAGAGGCATTGAACACAGTGACTGAACAGGCCTTAGTCACATGCCCTAGAATGCAGGGGAGGAGACCCCACAGGAGCTGGGGATCCCGAGAGTCAGTGTGTCTTACACCACATGGCTAAAGAGTATGAAAGGGTGGGTCCCTAAGGACACCATGAATCCTGCCATTGGAAGCAGGGAAAAGGGAGATGAGCAGGTGACAGCACGTGCTCAGCACACACGTGGTCTCAGTCCTCCTGGCAGCCCCGTGAACTGGCTTAAACCAGAAGAAAGTCGGGGAAGGAAGTTAGCAAGAGTGGCTAGCAATGTCCGAGGGCAAATCCCGTGTTTCTTCAGGATGTTTTTTCTGCCTGGCTGTGGGCAAGAGCTGGAAGAGAGGATGGGGGAGCCAAGGGAGGGTGTTGAACTCTCAAAGTTGATCTTCTTTCAAGGACCAGGACTAGCGAAGAGAGAGAGAGAGAAACCTGGACCCAGAATCAGGGAGAAGGACCCGGGATTTTTAGAGAGAAACCATGTGACACATCCTTCAACCTCTTCCTTCCTTCCCGCAGAGTTCTGTACTGCTTAGTGGTTTGCTCAGCCCCAGCCTCAGGGGTGAATCATGATTGGTCCAAGCCAGTCACCATGCTGCCACTGCTCTTGCCAACAAGTGGACTCAGTATGAACATGTGACACGGTTTCTACCAATGATACACCAGGGGGCTTCAGGGAGAAGTTTCCTTCGCTGATAAAAAGAAACAGACCACCCTCCTGTGGTGGAAATGCTCATGTCTGGAGCTGCAGCAGCCATCCTGTAACCAAGAAGAGAGGCAGTCTGAGGGCCAGGTGACACCTGAGAAGAACTGGTGAGAACATGCAAAGGGCTCGAGCCCTAGATTATGACATAGAGGCACGGAATGAACCATGGGCCATCCTACTTTGGGACTCTTAATAATGTAATGTAATAAACTTCTCTAGTGTTTAGGCCAATTGCTTTGGTGTCCTCTCTAACCTGCAGCCATATTGCTGTTTACACTCCGCGGCCTGGGAGAGTCTGAAGAGAAAGGACATTTCTTTTCCTTTCTTTCTTTCTCTTTCTTTCTTTTTCTTCTTTCTTCCCTTTTCTTTCTCTTTCTCTTTCTTTCTCTTTTTTTCTTCTCTTTTCTTTCTTACTTTCTTTCTTCTGTTTTAAATTTTTGTCACAGGGCACATGCTTTCACTGGAAAGAGACCGAGAGAGAAAGTGAGAACAAGATTTCCACCCCCGCAGCCAGATGGCCATGCTGCGATCCCTTCTCTAGGGAATTTGGGCATGCACACATATGTGCCCGGCATGATTTTCGAGTCACCGGGTCTAGGACTTGAATTATGCAATCTCTCTTGTGGGATCTAGCACCTTAATCACCACGCCACCTGCTGGCCCCAAAAGAGAGGATTTTTTTCAGTGCCAGCTGTGGAGGCTTTAGGCCAAGCACACATCAGCTGGGGGCCTTAGTTAAGGAAGAGATATGGAACAGTGGCAAGAAGGTGAGCTTCAGAGACTCATGACTCCAGATTCTTCGCTAATTCGTTGTGCGCCCTTGAACACACCCATTTACTCTCTAGGCCTCAGTTTCCTTATCTATAAAGTGGGAAGAAGAACTTGCCCTCCCTCAGGTTGTGTTGGAGACTGAGGACACAGGCATGGTGTCTGCCCTATAATTGTAATGGTCGTTTATGGAATGATCGTTTCTATCTGGACCCCCTGAACCAGATGTCAGTGGTGTCCAGCATCTGATAGTAAGTGATGAGACCTTATCAGAATTTCTTGAGGAGTATTTTGAGAAACGCGAATTCTTAGACTCCATGCATCTGTGAAGACCACGCCTTGACAGATCGGAGGCGGGCTCTAGGTATTAGGACTCCCTCAGTGGCAAGTAACAGAAACCCCAAGTCAAACTGGCTGAAGCTAAAACAAAGCCAAACAGAAAGGAATGTGCTGGCTGGCTCCGGGGGATAAGCTCAGACTCGGCTGGCTCCAGGTCCTCGTGATACGTCACCAGGTATGGCTGCCTGCCTGCCTCTGTCTCTTTCTGTCTCTGACTCTCTGTCTCCCTCGCTCTTGTTCATCCCTTGTGGCGGTTTGCCCCTGTTCTGGCTTCACTGTTGCCCGCGGTTCCGAGCTGACAGCTACCAGCCTCGGGCCCCTGAGGAAAGAAAGCTTCTCTTCCTCTATGGCTCTGACAGATGTGGGGGCTGCTGCCTCAGCCTAGCCGAGGCCCCTGCCCAACTGCAGTCTGTGACTGGCCAGGCCTGGCCATGTGTTTGCTCCTGGAGTTTCAGAGGACCTGGGGGGAGGGGGTCTCTACCCAAACCCCACGGGTGGTGTGGGAATGTGGGGGCTATCCTCAGGGGAAGAGGAAGTGGGTGCTGAGCAGGCAAAGTGCTGCAGGGCTCAGAGTCTGGATTTCTTTTCTTTTCTTTTTTTTTTTTTTGGAGAGGTTTTTGCTATAGGGTGCATGCCCTCTCCAGACAGAGAGAGACATAGAGACAGAAAGCGAGAAATCACCCCCCAGAGGGGATGGTCACGCTGCAATCCCTTCTCCTCCATTCCCCTCTCGGGATTTTGGGCACACACGCACACGCGCCCGGCATGAGTTTTAAGCCACCGGGTCCGGGACATGAACCGCGGTCGACATAGCCATTACGCTAACTGCTGGTCCCAGAGTCTGGAGTTCTTACAAGTCTCCAGGTTCATTCTGATTCCTGGGGAGGCTGGGCATGACTGCTGGAGAGGCCATTGGTTTTAGGACCCACTGGACCCGTGGACTCCCCTTCTTCCTAGGAGATCTTAAACAGGAGAGAATTTACAAAAGTGACCCCCAAAGGGTCCCTGTCCTGGTAGACAGGCAGGCTCTGTGGCCTCCCATTGTCTCCCAGGCAGCCCTTAAGGCACCCCAGGGGCTCCCAAAGCTCCCTGTAGGAGCCTCTGAATTCACTGCTCTCTGAGGCCCCTTTGGCACTGATTCTTCAACCCTGCGCCTGGTGCAATGTGGGGGTGCATGCACAGCTCGTCTAATCCTCCCCCCCAGCCCAGAGGAGTAAACAGGGACAGGAGGAGCCACGGCAGGCTTAGAAGGTGCGTCAGACATGCCACATCGGATGCTCCTGGCTTTGAACGCCTATCCTGGCCCGAGGCCAAATGGCTTCTCCGGCTCTGCAGAGCTGCTGGGCCCTGGGGCTGCGTGGGCGTTGATGGCCTGTCTGCCGGTGACGGAGGGGATGGCAGCAGCACTGCATCACTTGCAGCAGTGGAGATGCTACGGGGACACACTGGCTGGGGAGACGTGGAGGAGGATGAAGTCAATTTCACACTTTATTAGTCAGTTCGGGGCCAATCGAGGCCATTTTGAGACTGGGCTAGGCCCCAGCTAACCTGCCTCTTTCCCCAGCGAGAGAGCCTCTCCTGCCTCAAACCTCTCTGGTCGGAGAAGCAGTATTTCTTTGTGCTCAAAACCCACAGAATCCAGACGAGGGGCTGGGATCCCTTTTATTCTGCAAGAGAGTGCTGCTGCTGAGAGATGGCTGCTCGGCCGAGCGGTGAGCTCGTGGGGGTGCTCAGCTGAGCGGTGAGCTCGTGGGGGGAGCTCAGCTGTGCCATCTGTCTCTCAGCCCTCCATTGCCCATCCGACAGGTATGTATTGGGAGCCTATTGTGTGCCGGCAAACCGAGCTTGGTGCTAAATGTAAAGAAAAAATAACCTCGGAGGGGCCAGCAGGTGGTGTGGTAGCTAAGGTGCTGGACTCCCACATGGCTGATTGTGGTTCGAGTCCCAGACCCAGGGGCTTGAGAATCACACTGGGCTTGTGTGCATGCGTGCCCAAAATCCCAAGAGGAAAATGGAGGAGACAGGACTGTAGTGTGGCCATCCCCCTCTGGAGAGTGATTTCTTACTTTCCCTCTCACCGTCTCCCTTTGTTTCTCTCTGGCAAGTGTACGTGCCCTATAGCAAAATAAATAAATAAATAAATAACACTGGGATCCTCATCATACATTTATCCATTTACTCAGCAACTTTCCACTGAGCATCTACCATGTGCCAGACACTGCCAGGCTCTGGGGATTCACTGTGAACAAGACAGACATGGCCCCTGCCCTCAGTGGGTTGACTCATGGGGAAAGATGCTCAAGCAAAAAAAGACAGTTTCAGCAGAAAGCCAGAAGGACCTGAGGAGACGTACTGAGACAGAGCACCTGAATCAAGCAAGGAAGACTTCCTGGAGGAAGTGTCTTGTCACTGAGACTTGAAGGATGACTTAGTAGGGGTGGGAAGAGGGCAGAGTGGGAAGGCTGTTGAAAAAGCAGGACAAAGGAGGTCAGAGAGGGCCATGTAGAAGATTCAGCTCCACCAGAGCACGGAGTTCAAAAAGGAGGAAGGATAAATGGGGTCCAAACCACGACGAAACCTCAGTCAAGAGCCCCGTGAGGACAGGCATAGTGAGATCTGTGTCTCTGAAAGCTACCTCTGCTGGGAGCCTTGTGAAGAACGGAAGGAGACAGGCGGGCCTGGAGGCAGGAGAGGCATTTGGAGGCTGTTGTGGGATCAGAAGAGAGTGCTCACGGAACCCCAAGCTGGGGTGCTCGTGGCAGGGGGGATGACAGTGAGCGGGCGCTCTCCTGGGCTCCCGCAGTTCAGACCGGGGGCACAGTGGACAGTGCCTGGCCTCGGAGAAGGCACAGCTGGGCTCAAGCCCGCTCTGCTCTTGACTCCTGTGTGGCCCTCAGTGGTCCCTAGACCTCTGTGCCTCCTTTGTGGAAGGGGACTCAGTCTAGCCATGTCGTGGGGTCACAGCACATGGGAAAGGCGCACACAGGGCCTCTGCGGGGCGTGAAAGACCTGGTGGAGGGAGGGTAAGAAGCCAGAACTCAGCCCCCAGGAAAACATCTCAAAGCAATGGTCCACGTCCCAGCTTCAAGCAAACACCAGCACAGTGCCGGCGCCCCACCCTTCCGGACCAGAGTCGGGAGCCTGCCTTTGGGCCTCTTTCTGTGGCCCTTCTGGTCACTTGGCCTCCTAGAGCCACAATTTTCCCATCTGGGGGTGGGGCTAACAATGCCTGGGCAACCGGGTGGTTGTAGAGACAGACGGCGCGTGTGCGGCGCTCAGCATGGGCCCAGCACGCACGAGTTGACTACGTGGTCATTTGGTCCACGTCCATCTTCCCTAGTCTGTCACCCATCAAGGTACCCTGAGCATTGCCTTCTGCCAGATCCCGTGCTGTAAATATTTTAGAGTGCTACCTTGCTCTAACTGCTGTGTGTGTATGTGTGTATGTGTGCGTGAATCAGTCAATCCTTTAATCCCTGCCTCAGTCCCCAGATAAATTATTGTTATTATCAGCTCCATTTGATGGAGGAGGAAGCTGAGGCTTGGAGGTAAAGAACTTCTTTACCTTCAGCCATGGGCATATCTGGGTGAGAAGCAGCCCAGGGAAGGGAACGGCCAGTGCAAAGGTCCTGGGCTGGGAATGAGCTTAGAGTGACTGAGAAATAGAGAGGGACCCAGCAGCCGTGCACTGGCAGGAGGGCACCACTGAGCCTCAGCTGGGCTACACGGGGAGTCTGGGCTAGGTTCCCAGCCCAGCATGACCAGGCGGCCTGTGCCTGTGTCAGCCTAGCTGTCTGGGAAACCAGAGCAGGAAGACTGATGTGGGGAGACGTTGGATAGTCTTCTCGCCCCCTGTGCATACGCTCTCTCCCACTTTAAAAAAAAAGAAGAAGAAAGAAATACACAGAGAGAGGTCTTAAGGAGAGGGTGGCGTTCGGTGAGGCAGACAGCACGGGAGGCTGGGCCCAGCATGCACCGTAGTCAGGAGAAGTCGGATCTGACCTGCATGTCGGGCTCCCAGGCCCACACCTGATGCTCTTTGACAGTTTGGGGTCGGCAGCCTGGTGTCGAACCAGTGTTTCTGCTGAATCTTCTTTGGCTAGGTGTCACTCAGGACTTCCCTGGTTATAGGACCCCACAGTGGCCACTCTGGCAACTCCACCCCGGTGTGAACCCCGGCTCTGCTGCTTGGAGCCGCTGTGACTGTAGGCGTGTTACTGAACTTTCTACTCCTTGGCTCTTCTTCTGTCGAGGGAATGACAGT